AAGCCGCAAAATCTTTAAGCATTTAATGCCATCCGATGTTTCTTTGTGCAAATCCAGACTACCTCTTAAGGAAAATTCACGATGTTCAATAATAATTAAGTATTTTTTGTTTTTTAAATGATTGTAATGATTTGTTTGAATTCTTTTGTCGCTCCTTTTCTTCATAGATGATCCCGAATTACTGATTAGAATATGCGTTAGACTTGACCTGAGCAAGGTAGACTTACTTTTTCTTAAAAGTTAAAATTTTAACAATACCTTAAGAATACTTGACGGATCAAAATAATATTTTTTTTAAATATAAACTATTATTTTTTTATTTTATTTATTTTATATTCTTCTCAACGTAACAACCAATATACTTAGATTACTAGATATTACTTTGGAATGATTAAGGTTCAAGATTTAAAGTTATTTCTCTTCGTCAACTTCATATTAATGTAACGATCATGATCATTACTGACTTGTTGTAAAAATATTAATATCTTGTTAAATGAAGATAAGATAAATATTCTTAAATTTTTAAGATGAATATCTAATTTAAAATTAATTAATAATAAATGAAAAGATTCTTATTAAATCTAACTGCTTGAAATACTTTCAATTTAACAAATGTGTGATTTTCATCATTTTAATATTTCTTTTTAGATGTAAGGATCACAAATTTATTTCATGATTTGAAAGGAAAACAGAAAGATGCTAAAGAATAAAGACAATATCTGCTTTGATATTATTGAATTTTTTAAGACAAACATTTAAAATAAAATTCATTAATAATAAATAAAAGGTTACATATGGAAATAAGCCCTCGAACAATACTAAAAATAAATAAATTTAACTTCTATTTTTTTATTTCATTTAAATAATTTTTTAATTTTTATTTTGAGTTAACTAAGTTATTTACCCTGACTGTTGAGTAAAAAAAGTTAGTTGATGTCACGTTATCTTTCATGACATGTTGACGTGTTATATTGATGACGTTAATGCCACATCGTAAATGATGTAACATAAATTGTTGATTAGGAATTAAGTTTTTTCCTTTTTATCCATTCAAATGTCTAAAAATTATTTGTTAGAGATTTGAAACAAAAAATTAAAAAAAAAAAGACTAATTGTTTCAAGCTGATTAGATTACCATCTTTTTAATTGAAGTCATTCTTTCTAACAAAAAAAGCTTTCACTTTCTTCAACAATCTCTAATCTCGACATACCTTGCAGTCAGAATGTCCTCTCCCTATCAGTAAACTCTTATTCTTTTTTTAAAAATCATTTTTGAGGTAATCTTAAATTTTCAAAAACTGTTAAAGATATGTGTGAAAAAATCTATTATTATTAGTAAATAAAATTCAATACCATTAGATTTTTAAAAAAATTTTAGGGAAGAGAGGAACATTGGATTTCTTTTACAGATTCAAGAGAAGAAAAAAAAAGGATTTGACTTTTTTTTTAACATATTCTAGGGAAGAAAAGAGTATTAGATTTTCTTTGCAAATCCTAGGGAAAAGAAGATAAATATTTGACCTTTTTTTATTATGGGCAACATTATGTGTTTTTACTACTTGCAGTATTATAAACATTATGTATTTTATTTATACTCTTCCTCTTCTTAAAATCATTTCTAGGTATTTTTGAATATCTCTACACTAACTTTTAATCAAGCAACAATGACTTCAATCAAACTAGAAAAGTTGGATTAAATTTTTTTTGTTAAGAATTATGGCTTCAATTAAAAAAATGGTAATTAATTATAAAAAAGAGGTAATGAATTTAAAACAATTAAGTTTTTTTTTCTAATTTTTGTTTCAAATCCTTAATCAATAATTTTTAGACATTTGGAAAAGAAAAAATCAAATTTTAAATTAGTAATTTTTAATACCACATCATCTGTCACGTGACATTAACACCATCAAGATGATACATTAACATATTGTGTAGTAAATAATATGGTATTAAAAATGATTGATTGTGTAATTGATTAATAGAAGTTAGTTAACAGTTAATGAGAGTGACTTATTTAATCTAAAATAAACGTTTAAGAATTCATTTGAATGTAATAAAAAGATAAAAACTAAACTAACTTTCTTAATATAATTTGAGAATTTATTTGACTATTTAATTTAAATAAAAAGATCTTTATAATATTTATATATTCAAAATACTTTTAATTTATCAATTTAAGATTGTCACCACTTCAATAAACATGATTCGAAACCTATACCTTTTTTGACAATGTTTCAAAATCAAGGAAATATCTAGAATCTTTATAACTGTAACAATTATAAATAAAAGACGAACCAATAAAATATCTAGAATCATTATAACTGTAATAACTACAAATAAAAACGAACATTCAAACCTAATCTCGAGTTTCAAAAAGCAAAAAGCTATTTTTAAAAGTACTTTCAAAGTATTTTCTTGGTGACTGGTTGTTCCCGACAACAGAGTGAGCTACTTTCATCCAAGATTAAAAGGTCCCAAGCCAAGAACATATTCGCCTACAAGCAAAGCTAAAATTGAACAAAGAACTCTGTTCCTTTGCTGGTTCAAAAACTTAAACTTAGATATCAAGTGGCACAAAAAGTACACCTCACAAATGACCAATGCATGCTAATCACTTTGGGCTAGTGAAATTTTTTCATATTCAACAAACCAGAACCAATCAACTTCTTTTCAGCTACATACATTTGTTTGAGCTTGTACAGTTGTACTGAATATGAGAGAAAAAAAGTACGGCACTTGTCACTAGATGTAAAAGCCCAAGAATTGACAGACACTGGCTTTTGCCTGACATAATTGACGGGTCCCTCCATCCCGTATTATGAAGCTACATGTCAGATCTATTGGGTAATCAAGCCAATAAAACTCATCCGGTAAAGATCGTAAATTCCACGTGTCAGAACTAGAGATGAAAAGCACCAACAGATAGGGTGAGGAGGCAGTGAGAATAGCAAAGTCAAGAAACAGAATAGACTGAGAACGCCAAAAGAGGCCAGATAACAAGATTCCCCAAAATGGGCTCGAGAGTCACGAGACGGTGGCGGTGACCGACAGTTTGGAAATGGTACGGTTACTGAAAGAGGGAAAAGGTGAGGAGAGAGCGTTCAAGAGTTACAACGCCGTATGGAACGAACGGTTACATCGAGTTTCTTTTATGCCAAAAAGATTCGCTGATGTGTCACTGCGGCTTCGCTTAAAACAGTCAAATCTGGATTCTGGTTAATATAAGTAAATATAAGTACTGTTTACCCACCTTCAAACTTTTTTTTTATTTGATTTAGTTTAAAAGGTCGAAGAAAGAAATTTCAGTTTATAATGATCTGAGTATATCTTATCTTCTAGGCTTACTTACTAGATTACCTGAGGCAGTTCACATAGAACAATTTTATTTACTTCAGTTAAAGCTGCATATGGAAGGGCAAAGCCTTAACGAAAGCCAACGAACAACACCAACTTTTGCTGATCAGCTTAATTAGTGTCTCTGGTTTTGTTGACAAGACGGAAGTAGAGCTAAAGCCTAAAGGTTACATGGTTGCCAAAACGAAAAATCTAATTGCATCTTTTTACTGCAAAATCTAACTAAAGAAAAAAAATAAGAATATAAAAAAAATCTCATTAAACATTTATTACTACATATTACTATTTTTTGAAAAAAAAATTAATTTACACAAAACAAAAATTCATGCATTTTCTTTGATAAGAAAATTAAAACATCAGGTACGATTTACTTTATATCAAAACTCAATTCTTCCTTTGAAAATTTAAATAATGACCAAAAAAGCAACAGACCATTACCAAAAATCTTACCAATTGAACTACAAGAATATTTTAGAAGTGTATCATATAAAACTTCACTAAACAACAACTCTTAGCTTTGAGAATGAAGTTCAAAATTGAAATCCCTTCCACCTTTAAACTTTTCATATGTACAAAAAATAAATCAAATTATAAATCTTAAAAAAATTTTGAAGACTCACTTTCAAATTGAATTTTTATGTTACTATTTTGAAATTTTTCAAAATATCTTCAAATGAAAAAAAGACTTTTACAATATTATCTTTATTAAAATATTAACTTCTGATAAACCCCCAACTTTTACAACTTTTAAAATTAATTTTTATATATTAAAAACAGAATAAATATTACCATTTAAAATACAAAATTCCTAAACAAATCCTGCTGTAGTCTTAATAGCCAAACATAAACCTATTTGGATGTATGATAAGTAAATGGACTAGGAACTTTTTGTCTGTGTTTAGAAAAGCACATGTCTTTTCCACCTTCGAAATCAAATTATTACATAAAAATATGTGTATATGCACGTACGTATCTTTTATATTTAAATATAATAAAGTTAAATTAAATATAAAATTAAATATTTTAACTTATGACAGTTATAACCGTTGAAATCACTAACAACCGTAATATTAATCGAATATCAAATTATTAATTACAATAGTTATTTGTATTCATGTTCATTTTACATGAATCATGTAAAATTTTAAACAAAAAAAAATTAAAAACACTGCACACGTGGATTTTATCAACAAAAAGGAAAAATTTACATCATCGCAATTATAAAATTCCCCCCACGCCCTTCTCCCAATCGGATAAGAACCAAAAACATATGCAGCAAATCACATTTAACATCACCAACCTACAATTAATAAAGCGTGCACCTTTGCACCACTAAAGAGGGGACCATTAACGGCGTCATCGAGGACCCGACCTAAAAGAACTTGGAAATCAGCGACAATATCGGCAAACTGCCACATAAGAACTAAAAGCCCAAAGCCCCTCGATGGCATCGCCAGCCTTAACGGAGGCATTGACGGCCTCTAAACCAAACCTAATGCTAATATTGACTTTTGACACGCTCTCACGTGCCAAGTGTCAAGACCCACTCGCCACGTACGTTTCTTTGATTCTTAGTTTGGTCACGTGTTTGAGTCCGGCCTCGACGCTTCACACGCCTTGGTCATCGGCCACCACAATAGGACAAGTTTGCCCCTCCTTACTTCTTAATTCCCATGTATACTTGCGTTTTAATTAGTTTAAATCTTGCATTGAATAGAAACATTACAAGCAAGACAAAAAGATTACAGATTAATATTATTTTATTGTTTTATTATTACAAATATTAAAGCTAAATTGTTTACCGGGAAAGGAGTATTCAGTTTCAAAGCTAACACGTACTGATAATACATATGAACTGATCTTTGCTTTTGGTTTTTTTTTCCCCTATTTTCTCACTTGTAAGAGTGACTAGTTTCATTTCCTTGGGATTCAAGTAATTGAATCAGATCTTCAGCATTGACTCATTTCTCTGGTAATTCTTAGGTTTTGAAGTTTTTTTTTTTTTAATTTGGAATATTTTTTTTTCCGCGAGTTAATATAATCCAGCAACAGAAAATAAAGTGGCATTATCTATGGAGATTACTGGGAGAATCTGTTGAGATTTTCTTTTGTTTCTGTTGTTGCTATCTTTTATCCATCAGACAAATTTAATACCAAGTATAATAAATGAAAGATATACCCTCTCAAATTCTATAACTCTATTAGTTCTTTCTCCCAAGATCATCACTGTGTTTACCATGAAATGGCAGGCTGAGGGTGGTCTGTGAGAGATCTATCAGCTGAAGGGGCTGTACTTTTTTTAGAGCATTTTTAGGGAATCAGGAATTCTGGGTTTCCAGAGGTACCGCTTAACCTCTAACAGGATAGTTCTGTCTCTGCTTGTTTTAGCTATAACCTCTTTAAGTTTCTGGGCCTCAGGATGCTGACATTTTTTTTTCTTGACCCGGCAGGATAGCTTCAATAAAATGAGGTTCACAGTAACGGAGAATTACCTCAATAAGCAAATTTCAGGCAACCACTGGCTTTTGATATGAAGACTGCAAAAGGATCTGCGGATTTTTATCTCGCGAGTGAGAGAATCGAGCTCAAACTTTTGGCGAGGAATCTGGAACTGAGCAAAAAGTATGAGCGAACAGGGTCAAGAACAGTTTGTGTTCCAGCGTCCATGGGTTCCCGCAACCCCTTTTAGGCCTATTCCCCCAGAAACACCAGTGATCCATGTTGGCAGGCAGGGAAACCATATACCCGGAGCAAACTGTATAGGGTCAGAAAGTTCTGGTTCTATTCAGGAATCTCAAGCTGATGGAGTATTTGCATGTTCTCATTCAGCCAGTTGCACAGAAGTAAATGGAGGCGTTAATAACTTGAAGGCAGCTTTAGTTGGGAGTACCTGCATTTCAGGTGATAGCAATGGGCAGAGGCAATGTTCCCTGTACCTCACCGAACTCAGCAATGTTCCTTTCGCAGATCTTTTGGCTCTTGCAAATGCGGCCTCAGCTGCGTCCATGAGTGCAGCATCGAAGGGGATTAATAGACACCATGCGGAATGCAGCTCTGCAGGGCTCTTACCTGTGGATGTAAATTTATCAGCTCAACAAAACATATGGATCGGTGGCAATTGCACGCCAAAAAAGCATCAAGGTAAGTGCAAGTTTAACCTTTACTGTTCATTGAAGTAAAGCTATCTATATTTCCATTATAGCGTCTAGTTTCAACGTGTGTGTGTGTGTGTGTGGTGAGAGAGAGAGCAGAGAGAGAGAGAGAGAGAGAGAGAGAGAGAGAGTCTTAAAATTAGTATTAATGACAAATTAAGAAATTGTGTAAGAAACTGAGATGAAAGTTAAGGAAGAAAAATGGAAATGTTAATATTAAGACACCAGTAATAAAACAGACTAACAAGCATCCCAGGCCATCTTAACTGTTCCCTTCCCTGTTTCCAGAACTGGTGCCCTCATTTTATTTAGAATAGCCTCTGCTGCAATTCAGAGCATGTAAGTTCTCTCTTTACGTTACTGACAACTAAAAACAAAATCAAGTGGGAAAGCATACTATCCCTGCAACTATTTTCCTCTTGGGAGAATATCTCCAACAACTACCTCATCTGTTATTAATGTCGAAAGTTCAAAAGTTTGTAGTTTAATAACATGAATGAAGTGAAACTTATGGTGTTTACAGATGTGATTCCTCCCCAAAATTATGATCTTAATCTGCCTGTTAAGGCAATGGATGCACACTCTTACACGAGCATCTCTGGCTTTGCCCCTATCACACCTGATAAGGCCACAAGAGCAGAAAGGAAAGAGGATTTGGAAATAGAAAATTTATACATAGAGAACAAAAAAACTGAGCAAAGAGAGGAGCAGGCAAATGAACTGGCTGCTGCTAGGGTTGATGTGAATGGAAGTCAATGCAGTAAAGAGCTACAAAAGCCTGTTACAGAGTCATCCTTGGCTGCCATACCAACCAAGGAAATTCAGAATCCTGACAATGGAGGTAGCAATCTTGTAGACCTAGACAGAACACCACAGCAGAAACAAAGGAGGAAAAAGCACAGGCCCAAGGTAATTACAGAGGGTAAACCTAAAAAGACCAGAAAGCCAGTGACTCCAAAGGCCAGTGGTTCTCAAGAAAACCCAACTGGTAAGAGGAAATATGTACGAAAGAATAGACTAAACAAAGACACATCAATCTCCCCAGGAGAAGCAAATGGAGAGAATTCAACACGTAAGAGGAAGTACGTGCGAAGAAAGGGACTTGACCAAAACTCAATGATTCCCACAGAAGAAGAAATTGGAGAGGGGGCTACTCATCCAGAAACACTCAAGCATAACAAGAAATCATGCAGAAGGGTGTTAGATTTTGACATGGAAGGACAAGAGAAAGGTGAAAGCTATGCATGCAAGTCAGCCTGCAATTTAAATTCAAGTTCAGGAACAGAAAACCTTGGGAAAGGAGGAAGTCAATCAAAATCAACAATGCAGCTTTGTGGCGGAATTGAAGGGGCAGTGGAAAACACACAAACAGGCATTGCCCATGAACTGAAAGATTACTTATCTTTGCCTGAAGATCAAGCACCAGGCACACCACTTCTGACCAAGAATAATCCCCCACGTAGAAGACGAAATACCCACTCCCATAAGCTAACTAATATGAAAGGAGAAGATCAAGCCACTGCTCATAATGGACTGAGAAAAAATGGACAAACAGTGTTACAGTCTGATGATCAGTTGCCAGCAAGAAGCCCAAATAACTCCAACTGCAGCAGTAGCTCAGCATTGGAAAGAGGACAAGCAAGTGAATTGAAGACAAACAATTCCAGTGCTGCTCAACAAGCAGACAGCAGTGCTGTGATATCATATGGGTGTCACTATAACAATTTATGCATATACCAGATGATTCCAGGAATGCAATTTTCAAAAATTCATAGGAGAAAGAGAACTGAGAAGGGACAAAATTCTGCCACTTCTAGCACATCATCGTCCATCACTGCTGCAAAAAGTCTTGTGCCAGCAGAAGCATGCCCAGTAGATAATATTCAGGTAAATCTCCATCAATTTACTTCCAGTGGAGTTCCAGCAAAACTTCAAAAGGCAGGAAGAAAATTTTCTATGGAAGTATTGCCAACTTTTAATGGCATCATGGCTTTAAGTCAGACAGATGGTCCAAAGAAAAAGAGAACCAAAGGAGCCACAAGGGTTCGAGACTTGGCTTCACTCAATGGAATTGCACAATGTAAAAGGCACCCAGAATGCTGCAGCAGTCAATCACCTGTGGATTATGACATGCAGGAAGTTGGGAACTCAGACAGACCTCATACAAGCATAGAAGTCCTTGTCACAGAGATACAAGCAAAATTGGCAAAAAAGAAGCGAACAAAGAAGAGAAACTTCCTTGTAAATTCAGCATGCTCCAACACAAGTGAAGCACAAATGCACAATAAACTCATCTTATCCAACCAAAACCAATTTTCTGCCAAATTATTAGGTATTTCCAGAAAGTACTAACTTCATCTGGCCAAGCACTCTTTAAATCTTTGAGTAATCTACCAAATCTGTCAAACAGATCCTCTTAACTCATATAATCAACTTGATGCAGGTGCCCCTCCAGAGGTAATATGGAAAGAAATGTTTTCTATTGATGCACTTGTTGAACAATTCAACCATTTAGACATCAACAGGCAAGGTGTCCCTATTGCATATCAAGAGCAGACTGCAGTTGTCCCTTATAATATGAGACACCAAGAGCACAATGCACTTGTCCTTTATAGAGACGGAACCATTGTACCATTTGGTCCTATCAAGAAACGACGCCCGCGGCCAAAGGTTGACCTGGATGAAGAAACAAATAGAGTATGGAAGCTTCTCTTGGAAAATATCAATAGTGAGGGTATTGATGGAACTGACGAAGAGAAGGCAAAATGGTGGGAAGAAGAAAGGAGAGTATTCCGTGGACGTGCAGACTCATTTATAGCACGCATGCACCTTGTTCAAGGTAATGTATAATTTTCAGAGATTTTCCTTAATAACACTCTGGATGAATTGTTTTACAAGCATTTGCTCAAGAATCTTTAATTACATATATTATTTTATTGAATAATGGTGTTTATCATACTGTGATATGAAGTTTCATTAAAGACAATTGCACTAAAAGGCACTATTAACATGTCCATCCCACCTATGAATGCCTATGCAAATGGGGAGAGAAAAATTCTACTTTATACAGACAAGTGATCAGAAAATGGAAACCAAGGGAGAAAAGGAGGAAATTTCTCTATAAAAACATAAATTGCATAAAGATATGTCAAAATGTAATCTACCATGACATGTAACTCCCTTAGTTAAGGAAACTTATTACATGTTCATAAATTAGAAGGCATAGTCCCTTTTTTTTTATTTGAAGTGTTGTCATTATTTCCTTCACAAGAGTACAATATCATTTCTGCAGGGGATAGACGTTTCTCTCCATGGAAAGGATCAGTTGTGGACTCAGTGATTGGAGTCTTTCTTACTCAGAATGTCTCTGACCATCTTTCTAGGTGAGCTACAGATCCTAAGAACATTTAATTACACAAACAGTAAACAGGAAATATTTTAATTTCTCTTCAACTTTTGGCAGTTCTGCATTCATGTCTCTTGCTGCTCATTTTCCTCTCAAATCAAAGAGCAACAAAGAGTCATATCATCAAGAGGAGACAAGCTTACTCAATGGAGCAGAGTTCTATATCTTGCAGCCAGAAGACACTATAAAATGGGACACAAAGACATCAATTCAACCAGTTGGTGACCAGAGTTCAATGACTGTTAACAGCTCTGGGCACTCTGCAGAAAAAGAGGTTGTCAACAGCAAGGAATTTTCTGGTAGTACTGCTACTGTAAGCTCAACAAATGAATCAAAGAGCAAGCTGTTAAATTCTTCTGGAAGTGGTTTAAATGCATATTGTGACTCCACCTTAAACAGATCAAACATGGAAATTGTTGGGAGTGGAACTGAATGCTTCAAAGGAGATGATGAGACAAATGATGTCCTCTCATCTCAAAATTCTGTCGTTTCATCTGAAAACTCTGTGGATCTTTCATTGGTTCAAACTACTGAAAGAACAGGATCATGCTCAGAGAGCAACTCAGAAGGGGGTGTTCAGACTAAGCAGCCTATTCTAGACATCTTGAATAGCTCTACTTCTTTTGTACAGCTTTTACAGATGGTTGGCTCTGCCAGGCTGCATGAAGTTTATGGTCATCAAAATATGTCAACTAATGAGAACTCAAAGGTCAAAAGAAGCCAATTCCAGAATGACCAAAGAGAACACTGGGATAATTCAGGTCCTAAAAGCTTCACTGGAGAAGCCATCCGATCTGCTAATTATCATCCTCATCTTACTCTAAACTCAGAAGGAAGAGAAATTGAACAGTTTGAGATGTTCAATGAAGAAACAAGATCCTCTGAGGCTTCTAAGACCAAAGATGAAAACGTCATGAAAGAACAAAGTCCCTCAACAGAAGAATCTGCATGTCAAACAATGGATCAAAATGACTCCACTATATGTGTGCAGGTGGCCTTACAATCATCCAGTGAAAATAATCAATCAAGCAACAACATTCAACAAGTTGAGATGACAGATCCCCATTGTCAAATGGGGCTGCTTCAGGACCCTCGAAATCTTGTTGAATCACCTACACAAAACAAAGAAATGTTGGGGCATCTAAATGTGTCAAAACATTCTGGAGAAATCCTAGATATTACAGAAAGCACTTCCACATTTGATAATCAAAGAAGCCCACAACAGAAAATGCAAGAGTCAAACATGTACACACGCGACTCTTCAGCTGATAAGGAGCTCAATGGGATGAATGCCGGCACTTTAAAATCAAAAGGCAGAAACGCCAAGAAAGACAAAAAAGATGATTTTGAGTGGGATAGTCTAAGAAAACAGGCAGAAGCCAATGGGAGAAAAAGAGAAAGAACAGAGAAGACAATGGACTCACTAGACTGGGAAGCAGTGAGATGTGCAGATGTTAATGAGATTGCCAAGACAATTAAGGAACGAGGGATGAATAACATGCTCGCTGAGCGAATAAAGGTAGTTGTATAACATTGTAGGATGAAGTTCACTGAATTTTCCACTAAGCTTGCTGCATAACAACTGACTGTAAATGGGTTGCACACAGGATTTCCTTAACCGACTGGTTAGAGATCATGGAAGCATTGATCTGGAGTGGTTGAGGGATGTTCCACCAGACAAAGCAAAGTAAGCAAAAGACACCATTTTCAGCATGTATCATATTAGTATGCAAATCTAAGTCAAAGAAAATTATTTAAGCTTTTATATTCCTAATAAAAAAAAACCAGAGCAGCTTAAACATTATTCCTTGTTGTAGAGAGTACCTGCTAAGTATAAGAGGACTGGGGCTTAAAAGTGTGGAGTGTGTGCGGCTTCTGACACTTCACCATCTTGCTTTTCCAGTAAGTTAATTAATTGCATAAATAACCATTGCAGACAAAGCAGAACTCAACTTCCATATTTTCATCACAGGTTGACACAAACGTTGGACGAATAGCCGTAAGATTGGGATGGGTCCCCCTTCAGCCACTGCCAGAGTCCCTTCAGTTGCATCTCCTAGAGCTGTGAGCGTTATGAATTATCAAGCAACAGATACAGATACAAACAATATATTTAAGAAGAAAGCTGCTAATTATGTTCTGCCTACTTAGGTACCCCATCCTGGAATCCATTCAAAAATATCTATGGCCCAGACTATGCAAGCTCGATCAAAGAACATTGTAAAGATCCACTTCACTTTAATACGCAGACTCAAGCAGATGCATTTATTCCAAAAAGCAAAACAAATTTCTTATATGTTTGCTAATTCATTGAACTATCTATTGAACAGGTATGAGCTACATTATCAGATGATCACATTTGGAAAGGTGAGCTGTGTACATATTTAAAGTGAGACACTTACTTCCTTTGCTGACTAACAACAAGCTAAGACTGACAGGGGAACATTGTCTGAGGTTTATGCAGGTTTTCTGTACAAAAAGCAAACCAAACTGTAATGCATGTCCAATGAGGGGAGAATGCAGGCATTTTGCCAGCGCATTTGCAAGGTTTGCTTATGAAATATTCAATTTTTAACTTTTCAAATGTACTACAAGTGAAACAAGACCAATTTGTACACGTCCACAACCATTTACAAGCACTTGTACACTCATCCTAAAGTTCAGGTGAAACATCGACCCCTAGAAAGGCAAACAATCAACTGAATCTACAAGCAGATCATTTTAGCAGCATTTCCATCAATAGGACAATTGTCAACATATTTATTTCATTAAGCATGTTCTGCAGATAATAGAGAATAGCAGTGATCATGTAGGGATATCCCAAAATCATTTCATGAGACATGTACAAAGACTACAAGTTGATAAATTGAATTACTAATAAACCATATTAACGCAGTGCAAGGCTTGCCCTGCCAGGGCCAGAGGAGAAAAGCATTGTCAGTGCAACTGAAAACAGAACATCTGATCAAAACCATGCTGTGATCATTGATCAACGGGCCCTTCCCCTACCCCAGCCAACTGAACAATCGGACAGAAACTTGCAGTCACAAGCAAAATCTGGAGTCAATAACTGTGACCCTATCATTGAAGAGCCAGCAAGCCCAGAACCTGAGTGCACACAAGTAGCAGAGATTGACATTGAGGAAATGTTCTATGAAGATCCTGATGAAATTCCTACAATCAAGCTTAACATGGAAGAGTTCACCCAGAATTTGCAGAATTATATGCAAAATAACATGGAACTTCAAGAAGGGGATATGTCAAAGGCTTTAGTTGCTTTAACAGCAGAAGCTGCATCTATTCCCACACCCAAACTTAAGAATGTCAGTCGGCTAAGAACAGAGCACCAAGTGTAAGTAAGCACTTTCCAAATCTCTGAGGTCTTGAAAATAGAGAAACCACACTTAACTATTTCGTGAAAGAGTTTGTTATTACCAGTTCTAGATCAATATAAGATCAAGCTTAAACTATAGTTAAAAAAAACAACAAGTTTTAGCCCTTTTAATCTATTGTTCAAAAATCCAAAACGTTTAAAATGGCCATTTATGCATACATACCACAGTACTTATAGGAAGCAATCAATGAATAGTGCAAAGAAGTATACCAAAGAAAGATAAACAACCTTTATAGATAAAGCAGTTCTGCCAGATAATGGCACAAAATCCAGTGTAAATGGTACCAGAAATCTTTACATTTCATACTGATTGCCTCATTTCTTTGTCCCCTACTCCTTTAATCCATCCTACAGCTACGAACTTCCAGACTCACACCCTCTTCTAAACGAGGTTAGTTGTTTTTACCTTTATTCAAATAAGAATATTTTTCACATTTCTGTAACTCAGTTTTTCTTATATTAGTTGTCTATGGTAAATTTACAGCTGGATAAACGAGAACCTGATGACCCATGCAAGTACCTTCTTGCCATATGGACACCAGGTATGTACATCATTTACTAACAAGTTATGCTAAATTCCTTTTAGACCTCTTGAGACAACATGATAATATTCTGCAATTTTTAGAAATATGAGCAAGGAGCTTATAAATGGTTTACTTGAGTTCCTGATTGATTTCCCTAAATGCATGAATGCTTACACAAGGTGAAACTGCAAACTCTATTCAACCACCTCAAAGAAGGTGCAATTCCCAAGAGCATGGAAAATTGTGTGACGAGATGACATGTTTCTCTTGCAACAGTATCCGAGAAGCAGAATCCCAGATCGTTCGGGGAACACTTTTAGTAAGAAAATGGATTTGATATATGCTAGAAAGAAACATAACTATTGTTGAAATAATATTACTTCAGAATATCCTATGCTTGCTAACTAATATAACAAAACATTATTTATCATAAACAGATACCCTGTCGAACAGCAATGAGAGGGAGTTTTCCGCTAAATGGCACATACTTCCAAGTTAATGAGGTAAGTTCAGCATACAGGTTCAACCTCCTTTCATACTCTGTAGTCATTTTGATCTTTATCAGGCAAGTAATGAAGATCAAATTTAATATTTCTATACAGGTATTTGCTGACCATGATTCTAGTCTAAACCCAATTGATGTTCCAAGGGAATGGCTATGGAACCTGCCAAGGAGAATGGTCTACTTTGGGACCTCCATACCTTCAATATTTAAAGGTTAGAACATTTCCGTAGAAGACGGTTCTGATAAATGGAGCAAGATTGAACACTGATTCTGTTTGTGTTTTTGGTCTATTAGGCTTAACAACAGAAGGAATTCAACATTGCTTTTGGAGAGGTGAGAATTATCGACCATTTGAACTTTTGTCATGCTGTTTTTATTGATTTGATAAGTTACCCATAAGTATCCATGTTCTTATTTTTACACGCACATGAAACACCAAAACCTTGCAATCTTGAGAAACATATCATGGTTCATCTTCCCCTCAAAAGCTTTGAATTCCTAACTCCAGGAGCATCAAGGACACAATAATGGCCTTGTGAATTGGATGAACTGCACATCCAATATTAACATTTACCCATAGAAAAAAAAAAGAGTTATATCATAGGATTACTGGCTTTACATTTCATCACAAAGAGATCATTGTGATTATAGCAGCACTTTCCTCACTTGGCTTGAGAGACCTTGCCAAGTGCGTGCATTCTAACTTTCCAAGTTGACTTCAATTTTCCAAGAAAAATATCTATACTTTTAAGGAATTAAACCCAACTGTCAAGGACCTCCGCCCAAAAAATAATATTAAAAGTAGATAATTTCCTTGTCATGGATTTTAATGATGTCATATTATTGGAAAAAAAAGAACAAAGCACTTTTGAATCAGTCACAGCCTCCACTTACTAAAACCTAGATTTAGAAACTGTCACGCTGATGCATACATAAGATGTACCCAATTTCTCAGGCCACAACAATATTTGCATAGTTGGCTTGTCGCACTTCATGCTCTTGCCTGTTATCCATTTAAACATCAAAAAAACAAAAAGAAAAACGAACACTGACACTAATAAGAATCAAGCACATATAGTGCTACCCCAATTTCTGGACCAAAATGGAGATTAAACTGTCTCCAAATTCTAATGAAAGATAGAAATTCACATCAAACCAATCAACCTTGCCAATATTGCATCAACCACAAGCTACCCCTTTGAGGAACATTGTAGCCTTTATCCTCCTACAATAAAAATTTAAGCCCTTTACATATTGGATATTTCGTATGATCTACCAACTCATAACTTAGTTTAACAATAACAATGACAAGTAGGTAACTTAAAATCATTTATGCTATCACTAATGCACTAAATTGCTCATCCACTTCCATCTTAGACCCTTAATCATCATTTTAAGTGGTGGAGGACTATTAGATTAGCATGCTCGCAGACATCATAAATTCCAAACTTTTGACTGACCAAACCTGCACACATTACCTATGCAATCTCAAACATAGGCTTCAACAATAGAACACTTGCCCTATTCTATTCATGTTAATTTTGAATCTTTGACCACCAGAAACAGAAATGGAAAATTCTGTCAAAAAGAAGGTATATATTGGGAACTTTGGCTTTTCAACTATATATTGGGAACTTTGGTTTTTTTTTTTTTATAGCTCCACCTAGTCCTTCCAATACCTCAACAGATAGCAAATCTTCAATCAATGATAGAATTTAAGTCGCCTAAAGAATTCTCGAGTTTCTCACTACTTTTTGATGACAATTTGCAGGATATGTTTGTGTGAGGGGATTTGACCAGAAATCACGAGCACCACGTCCTCTAATGGCCAGATTGCATTTCCCAGCCAGCAAGTTGACGAGAGGAAAAGGTAGGGGTGCTGGAGAAGACGAGTAAATGATAGCACAGTCATAAGGATCCAAACAAGTCAACATTGACCAAATAACCATGTATTAAGAACAAAAATCAGCGGAATTACATTTCACAATACTGACTTGGTTTGTAGGGAAATGTGAAAATATTTGTATAACCCTTTATGAAAAAGGGCGCGTACGGCTGTATACTGTTTAACAAGGTTGTAATTGTTTAGTTTCATGCTCAAATTTGAGCAATTTTTCAGAAATCAGCTTCAACAAAATGCGTCAAATGCTAAATAGATAAAAACTCTTTCATAGAATGAACAAGCCCACAACGACTTGAAGCATAAGTTCTTAACATACTATACGGCCCAGACCATTTTCAAGCATCTAAGTATGCATGCATACAAAATTGTTGTAAAGCTTAACAAGTATGAAACGTTTAAAAGAAAATTGACTGGAGCTTACTGGACAGGTCACACTGCCAAAGTGGCGCAGAATTTGATGTGGCAAAGAGAGGTATGAAGTATAACCTCAGCAAGCAAAATGAAACTCCTTATTATGAGAATTTCATCCCTAAAATGACACAGTTGAGAAGGATCTGCAAAAAGTTAAGCAACCTGGACGCAAAATAGAAGTCAGGAAGAGAACATTAGCCCGGTTGTTTCATGTATTTGTACTTCACATGGCAATCAAAAACAGACATTACATTAGCATAAATCCATAATCTCAATTCATATCTCATTAAACGCGTTCCAGAATTTCAACACCACCATTTACCTTACAATCAAGCATTAATAAAACTTCGATTCAAAATCCAAGAAATTCTGCGTTCTAAATCAAACAAAGAACTGTATTGGAATCGAAATAGCTTAGTATTATCTATCTAAATATTGAATATCACGTTCATAAAATTTTTGGTGCAATCGTGGATACAAGATGCTGAATCCTACAACAAATAACTAGACAGTTAAAAGTAAATTGTTTCTCCAAACATAAGTTTACCTAAATAGACCAAAAAAATCAGTGGCTAACAGGGACTTAATTGCAAATTCCAAACAACGGCAACTTAATAGATTTCCTCAAAAGGAAGATTTAACGAATCAACACTTTAAACTCCTCTCCCCTCATAATTGAGAATCGGTAAATCTTCTACTAACCGAAAGTCGAAACAATTTACGAAATGCGGACAAAATTCTGCTCATAATTATTAAATGTCTCTGAAATTAGCTAAACTGGAAACATTAGCGAACGCAACAAAATAAATTAAACAAAAGGAAAAAAAGATGGGCAGCATAACAGAAAAATAAAACATCAAAAGTTAAGCTCGTTTCATATTTTTCAAATCGAACCAGTACATCAACGCGCACAGAAAAATATCAGGAAAAAGCTCGAAAACACTCGAAACTCTTAACAGAAAGATGAACATTTATCAGGAAAGTTTATGATCGAGAAACGAACCATTTCAAATTTGTAGAACGACGAAAAGACAAGCCGAGGAAGGACTAGAAGTGAGAATTTAGATGGTTTTGAGTTTGAGAGAGATGATAGAGAAAGAGAAGTGTTCGAGAATTTGCCGCCTTGCCGCCGCCTTTTTTCATCTTTCCCTCCTTATTTGATCTTGAGGCTTTTTTGTTTTTTCGGCCCCTCTGATGCTCGGCTACTAGTTGGTCTCTCGATTGGACCAAGCGGCTTGTATTTCACAGGCTTATTGGTCCACGGTCCAAGCACAAACCATTTAGCAGGGATCTAATTAACTACGAATAAAATTTAATGGATATTAATTCAATTTAAAATTTTCGAAGTTTTCTAAAATTTTTCATTTGTTTATCAGTAACATCAATCTATACTATTATTAAAAGTTGTTCCAAGGAATTGAGAGATCATTGAGAACAATGGGTGTTATCACGTTGAGCTTCGAGATTGTTCTCCTCTTTCATTTTTCACTTCTCTTTTCGTCATTTTTCCCCTCTAGGTTTGTCCACCACTCTCTTCTTTTCTTTTCTTCGTTCTCCTTGTTTTTTTTTTTCTTTCTTTGGTTACCTTTTTTTTAAATTTTTTCGTTCCTTTCTTTATTTTTGTTTGCTTTCTTTAGTGTTATCCATTATTTGGGATTTTTTTTTTTATTATCTAACGAATACATGCCCCTAAATGGATTGATCCCACTCTGATGGTGGCCTTTGTTGTGTTTCTCTGTAGGGCACGATAGCATTTTGATCTCATTGTGATTGTTCTTTGTTTGGGCATGATTTACTGTATGTTTTTATTGGATTTTTTTATTTTAATTTCATTTGGATTTTATTTTTGATGCTTTAGCTTGTTTCATGTTATTAGAGAATTGATACTCACTGCATAATGCTGCTGGTAATTGTGAATTGTTTTTTAATATTTTGATTGATTGTTGTATTGTTCCTGTTACACATAAATATTTATTTTTATATTTTTTTTATTTTAATTTCAGTTGGGTATTAGTTAATTTTTTTGTTTTTTTAATTTTTGTGGCTTGATTTATTTTAATAAAGATATAATATTTTATATATAGTTTGTATTCTAATTTTTTTATATCTTTAATGTATATAATATTGATTAGTTGACTTGCAAAGTAGTGACTTGGTTTCATAAGGTATGTACATATTTTTCAATAGTGTGAATAATACATAAAAAGACAATTTAGCTTTTCCCTTCCAAATAATTTCTCTATTCTTTAGCTTATATCTTTCTTCATTGAATTTCACACGGAGCTTTTTGATTTTTCTATAAGTACTTTTTGTCATCCCTTTTCAAATCATCAAAATTTTCTTTTCTGATTTCTCAATCTTCTATTTATCTTCCTGTTAAGATCTTCGTTTTTCAGATTTTCCTCTATTCTTAAAAGTTTGAGAACTCTTCTTTTCCCTTTTTAGGACCTTCAATCTCCATACTTGTTTTATGTTAGCCCTTTCCATTTGAAATAAGGTTAGATTTGTGGATAGAACAATTAAAGAGCCTAAAAATATTGATGAGATTTATGCTTCTTGGCTACATTGCAACAATTTGATTGTTGCGTGGCTGATCAAATTGATTTCTCCACCGATTGCTTCCACCATTTTCTACATGCACTCAACACGCCATAGCTAGGAAACTCTTAAAATGCAATTTTCTCAACTCAATGATGCTTAGATTTGTCATCTTCAATTTACTCTATCTAATCTTAATCAAGGTATGTGAGGTATTGATGCTTATTTTACTAAGGTAAATGCAAGACAGGAAGAACTAAGAATTTTTAGACCTCTGCCTAGTTGTGACTGTGGTTCTTGTAATCAGGAGTGTTTTAAAAAATATATCAATCAGTATAAGAAAGATATGGTATTTAAATTTCTCAATGGTCTTAATGAATCCTTTTTTGCTTTGATATCTAAGTTATTGTTAATGAAACCTTTCCCCACTTTAGACGAGATTTATAACATTGTTTTGAGGGTAAAAAGTCCACGATTTATATCTATCAATCAAATGTTTCATGAAGCCTTTACTATGACCACTAGTACTAATGGAAGAAGAAAGGAAAAACCTAATGTCATTTGTAGTCATTGTAGTAAATCTAGGCACATAAAGAAAAAATGTTATAAACTGGTAGGTTTTCCCCCTGATTTTAAGTTTACAAAAGGTAAGGAAAATCCCAAAACTCATAAAGCTACTTCTTGTGTTAATAACTGTCAATTAAATTCCTACCTACGTAAGTATACATATAAAAAAGATAATATAACGATAAGCAGAGTATTGATCTCATAGAAAATTGATTTAAAATTTTATTAAGTACTAAAATTAAAATAATTTAATTTTATCCAAACAATCAAAATCAGATAATTAAATTAATTAACTAAAACTAATTAATCAAAATTTAAACTAAAATGAAAAATCAAAGTAATATTAACTTGGGTAAAAATCAAATCAAACAAGCTGGAGATTATAATATCCCTCATACTTCATCTAAATTTTAACTATCTTTCTCAACTTATTTTAATAGGTTGAATTGCTAACTTAGAGTCTTTAATCATTTATAAAGATCCCTCGACTTCTCTTAAAGAAATCTAATTTAATTAAAATATTATATCCTTATGTGAATTGAAATTAAAACAAATTCATTAAATATAGGCTCTAATTCTAGCTACGTATGGCTTATATGCATATTCTTATCCTATGGGCAAATCAATTAATATGATCATATATTATCCTAATTATAGTCTACATTAATCTTCTTTTTTCAAGTTTATTTAGATTCTTAGATCAATTTAATTGATGACGAAGCAATTAAAAGCATTAAAAAGAAATTGAAATAAACAATTCAATTTCATTAAAAGTAAGCAAGAAAGAGATTAAAAATTTAGATTACATGTGAGTTCAATTGTAATCCTACAAAAAAAAAATTTACTACACATAATTGCAAAGACAAATAACATTATATAAAGTTTAACCATTGAGAGTGACAAGGAAAATAAAAGCTAACAAAGAAAACAAAACGGTTGACTGTAGCTTTGTTTTCCAAGTTTCTGCCTCAACTTTTAACCTTTTGAATCTTCAAAAGTTGTCTATTCTAATATCTCTTAAAAATATGTCATTTATACTAACAAACTTAACTTATAATTTTCTAAGTTAACCTACTGATTTAATTGGGCTTAAAAGTGTAATAAAAGGCCCAAACATCAATTATAAGCTTTAAAATTACCATTCTCACAATAGTACATCCAATTTTTTTCTGAGGCAGTTTTCTCTATCTTTTATGTAGAATTGGGCAAAGTGATCTATCATAAAAGTTGTAGCTATATCTCTTAGCTTTCCAATGATTTAAGAATCATATCATTTGAAGTTTTGTAGCATGAGTTATGGTCAAAAGACTGAAGCATATGTAAGCAAATTTTTGGGTCTTTCAATACCTTACTTTCAAAAATTAAACCTAATTCCCTTAATTCTTACAAAAATATTAAAAAAACTAATAAATAATAATCAAATTAAGGGAAATAAACATAAGATTAAAATAACTCACTTAAAAATAAATTAATTATAAAAAAAATTAAAAATAACTAAATTATACTTGAAATTTAAGGACTTAGCTAATATTTAATAACAAAATTAGATTAAAATAATTCTATAAAATAGAATTATTACAACCCCAAACTTAAGATTTTTGTAGTCCTAGAGCAAAAGAAAATAAAAAAAAAATTGAACATAAAAATATTTGAACGAGAGGTAGAAGTACTAAATCATTATTTTTCATTTTTTTCCTCAAAAATTATCTCAATTCCAGCTTAAGGTAAAATATAGCTAATCTTTAAAGTCATGCATCAATTCAAGTAAAAACTTGTTTTTGAAATGGACTTACTTATGTATGTGTGTAATTTCTTACAATGAATAACATGCAATTCAGATTAATTTATGCCAAATCTAAGCATAGATTAGTACTAGAATCTCATGAGTTTGTTTTTCATCTCTCTCTCTGCTAATGTAGAATAACACTTATTCAAAGATTAGTAGGTTTTTATTAAGCTTATAATATAAGGTTAGGGTCAAGGTATGATAAAGGATATTTTTAGGCTCAAATTCGCCATAAGTACTTAATCAATCTTAAACCTATAAAGAGCTCACGAAATTATATAGCACCCCCAAACTTGAAATATACTTTCCTTTGTATAAAACACTTTATTTCGTTTCTTTATTTTTTTTTATACCCCCAAACTTATTTTTGACAATTATAAACAATGGGTAATATTTTTTTAACAACCATCACCTTTTTTCTTTGCTTTGTTTTTGTTTTTTTTTTCTCACCTTTCTTCCTCAATTTATCTTAAAGCTCAAATCATTTCCTAGAAAGATTAAAATACTTAAAAGGGTGAAAGGTTCAAATTGTTGGATTTAAATAAACAGGCTTAGGCTAATACAATTATCTATTTACAAAGAAAAAGTAAATTAGGCTCAAAAAGGGTGACTAAGGATAAATATAATAAGGTAAGCTCAAAAGAGCTCAAATAATCCAAAGATAACCTAAATCACTTCCTATTTTAAGTGTTATCTAAAATTTCATCTCAAGAGATAATCAAACAAATTCTGAAATTCTTGACTTCACTATACTTTTTATCAACATAAACATTTTCTAAATCACATAAAAATTCTAAGTAAAGGAATATAGTACTCAAATTATTGAAAGTCGCATTTTAAAATAAAGCTAAAACAAGAATATCATATAAAATTAAATCATAACTATATGTTTCCCAAAAGTTAAAAATCACAAGATAATCAAAATATCATCCCAGGATTGGGACAATCATGGATAAGGTGCAACTATCTCAATTTTTTTTTCATTTTTAAACACAAATAAAACATGCAAAATGTAACTTAAAATAAAAGTAAATAACCCTAACATAACGAAAAGAATAAACCAACTAAAATTTGAAATATTCCCCTAAACTTTAAACAAACCATTATCTTCAATGTGATAAAAGAAAATCAGAGAAAAAGGACAAGAACACTCATTTAACTCCGAAGCTGCAGTTCACAGAGCCTTCTTATCGTCCTTACCAAAATCTTCATCAAAGTTTAAATCTGCAGGCAACAAAGGAAAAGTGGTCATATCCATCTCAATGTGTTCTCCATAGGTTATCATCATTTGTTCAATTT